GACTGAAAACATTTGTATTGTTGCACTTTGTGTATTATGCAACACTTTGGTATTGCATTGATGTCATAAATATTTTATAAGTACTGTGAGCTGTATTTAGAGTGTAACTATACAACACTTTAATATTTTCTACTTTCCTCGACAATATTCGTAGCTACTTAGTATTTAAAAATACTTACAGGACATTATTTTACTTCTTTTGTCTGTTGGTCTTGCCGAAATATATGCTGCACTAATATACTGGTAGAGGCTAGGGTGTGTACACCAAACAAGTGTTAAATGTCACCTTTCTAACTTGTAAACCACAGCTGAAAGTAACCAAACCTTAAACACTGTGTATATAAGACTGGTTTTAATAGAGCTAGTCTTTTTATTTTGGGGTGTGTTTTCGTTTTTTTTGGCATAGGTAACGTACGTAGGCCCAGCCACCACTTGAGTCCAAATTGAAAAATCTCACCTACTACTGGAAATGAAATTTTGTGCAGATGATTCATCGTGACCCTTTGACTTAATTAAAGTGTTACCAACAGGCTGATATTTGTGAAAAAGAAAGCAAACCTTTTTTCAATGCCAAGGTTTTATGACTCAGGATATGACAAAAAATGATTTAGTTTAGTTTAACATCCTCAGATGAACAACAACACGTGGCAGATTATAGACTATCGTTATTTATTTAACAGAAACAAAACTGAAATGTAGAAGCTGTGCGTGAAAAACACCGCGTTATGTGATAGCTTGTAGAAACACGTTTAGCAGCAATATCTTTAGATAACAATTTTCTGACTTTATCAGTCTCTTATTGTTATGGAGGAACTTTGGTCCACTCTTCTTTAAAACATCGCCTAAGATCACTGAGGTTTGTGGGTATCTCCTAATGCAAGGCTTTCAGTTCAACACCCTGATTCTTATCTATTTCAGCAATTCTGTTCTGGATTTACCGTCGTTGCTTGGAATCACTGTCCTGTTGCTTTAGCTGTCGGATGGTTGCACATCTGACTGTGGAATACTTTGGTGTACAGAGTTCACGGTTGGCTTGGTGACTGCAAGGAGTCCATGCCGTGTGGCTGCAAAGCAAGCAGTGGTTTGCACATTTGCTTGATAAGCAAAAGGTTGCTGCTTTAATTCAAACCAGAGTAGCAATTCTCCTTTAGGGGTTGTGCTAGGAAGGGCACCCGGTGTACAGACAGAGCTACCTGCTAAGGTGACCCCTTGTGATAAAGGAACAGATAAAAGTAACTTTTATTGTTATGAAATTTAACCGAGCGCTGTGGACTCTGAGATGTCAGAGCATTACATGACTGGCCTTGTGGTGAAATTGTTGGGGCATCCACTCCTGGGAAGACTAATGAATAATCTTTCTCACTGTTTCCGACATGGCCTTATAACCTTTCCCAGAAAGATGGGCAGCAAGAGCTGTTTCCGCTCGTGTCTTCCTCCTTGGAAATGTGGCAACACATACCTGAATGTTCCAGACCAGCAAACTGCCAAAAAGTTGTGTTTTCTTAGACACAGTTAAGCTTGTCGATGATCAGCTGATTAGTAGCACATGACTGCTATCTACCTTTGTAATTACTATTCTTATTTCCTTTTGCAATCTGACTTGGCTTGTGTTACACAGATAACAACAATGTATAATATATTGTGGTGTTGTTGTTCATTTGAGGTTGTATGTAATAGTTTTAGAACCTGCTAAGGATCAGATCATGTTTTTTATTATGTACTGAGGCATAAAATGTTCAAATTAAAGAGAGTACACTTTAATTTTCAAATAACAGCTGTTCTGATATCAAAGGCTTTTAAGGTAGACTGTTTTCTTGGATTTGGTAAATGTTTAAATATGCAATTGTAACTCTCTGATGCCACCTTAAAACCTGTAGTCTGTAATAGGACATGATGTCGTCGGTAAGCAGGAAGTAAGTCTGTGAATTAAGGAGAAGGCATGTGCAGCATGGTGGCCTTAGCCAGATAAATCCAGTGGCATCCACATAGATCCTATGCCTTTGGTAGCATTGTGGGTATGTATAGACTTGTTTTATATTTTATGTGCATGTATAGACCACTTTCTTTCAAGTAAGTTCATTTTTCTGTAAGTTTAATGATAAAACCAATCTTATGCAGTTTACGCTAGCAATTGACTATGTGCACGTTAGCATATGTTACTTCCGGTGCGGAAACTCCTGTGGGGAGCTTTGTTTCCGGTGTCCTATTCGCGCCTTGTTTACGGTCCAAAACAAGTTAAGCAAATGAATGAATCAAGCTGCGATTTACATTTCTGTAGATGTCTTGGGCATTTACCCAATATATCTGTAAATGATGTTCATCGACTTGTCTATATTTTTTCCCCTGTGCCTCAGGGCAAAAGAGAAAATGGATTCAAATGTTATATTTCTCAGCTGTCCCTCGTTTATCGCGGGTGTTATGTTCTAAAAATAACCTGTGATAGGTGAAATCAAGTAGCCAATTTTATTTTTTGACGGTGCAAAACGTTTCGTGGACATACAGCACTGCACTTCAGAGTCACACTTGCTAGCAACGATGCAGCGATTCTGTACTGTACAGGAGAGACGTCACGGAGGAGATCGTCTGCAGCGATCAGGACGCAGGACACAATGTGACGTAAAAAAAGCATGCAAACTTGCACTAAAAAATTGACTATTCTTCACCTGTAGTTTGAATGCTGAACATTTGCCTGTTTAAATCATAAGACCAGTCACTATACAGAGATGTGCTTCTGAATGTGGACGATGTGTCTTCTGCTGCAGTAATGCTTGTGTTGAGTGATGTAAACAACTGATCGATTTAAACTCTTTAAACGTCAAAATTGATCATTAGATTTTTTTATGACACAACAGTGGTGAGTGTTCCCACCTTCTGCTCTTTGTAACTTAACGCGATTTTTCCGTTTTCAAGTTTTGGACATGATTTTGGAGTATATCTTCGCAGTAGCGATTGACCGCAAAGTAAAGCTACCGGAAATGTACAACCCCACATCCGGTCTCAAACCAGGAAGTTAGCATTTTCTCGTGCACAGGGTCAATTGCTTATGGAGCTAGTTAAAGGGGAATGACAAACGAATTGGAGGCATTCATTATAGCAAGACTTGTTAAAATCATAATTTTGCATGTTGCATTGCATGTTGACATATTAAAAAACTGGGTTAATATATTTTCATCGTTATATATGTACATGGTGAATAAGTACAGTGATTATGCCTTGTACTGTTTGTTACAGTTTCACCTTTCCCTGTGTCAATAAACCTGTGAACCGGGAATCGTGTCATCAGAGTCTTGATGTGGGGAAGGAGTTTAGCTGACTGCCCAACCATAGCAGAGGCAGTACAACAGCTAATAGTAAACGAAAGCTAGTAAATAAAGGCTGTCACACTCAGTTGAAGAGGACTTCATCCTATCATTTAGTTTTGTTTGACCAATTTCAGCCAATTTCTAGCAACTATGTAAATACAACTCTGTTTTCTCCATAGTGTGTACATGGACAGATAGCAGTGAAGTGGACAGAAGTTTAATAAAATGGAAGGAAATGTTTCAAACCCGGTTTGCACACACTCACCTCTCTCCACTCCCTGTTGCCCATGGCTTGTGTGTAGAGTACACATACTGTAAAAAAGAGGCACATAAACAGTAGTTTTAATCATTAATCCTTACTAACACTCACTTAGCAAATGCCCAGCCTTTTTAGTCAGTGTCTACCTTATAATCATGTATAATATATAAGAAACGGGCAAGCAGTCTAAATAAATATTATTATATTGGTATTTACAACCACCTTTTAACTATCTGACAGGTTGGCTGACTAACGGATGAATAGGAGAGCCTTACTTCATAAGACAGCAAGCAAATAAAATCAAAAAACAAATCAAATGTCATGGTATTTCATGGATCCATTAGAATATGACTGATAAGCCATAAATGCTTGAATTAGAAATATATGTTAAAAAAAGAAAAACATCAAAGCGTCTAATAGTGTTATTCACGAGTCCCGAATATGTGCATTATATTTGCCGGCTTCAGATTGTGAAAGACATCATTTCGGGTGATTATGCAATTTCTCGAAACAAGAGAGTTCTCTGAAAAGCAAATTACGCAGCTCGCTCATCGTATACTTCATTCCTCAAGGCCTTTGATGTTCTTTGATGAGGATATGTACACATCCAAACGCCCACGCAGACACATAAAATGTTGATTTTGCGTCTGACAGACAAACACTGGGGATACTTTTGGAGGGAACAGAAAGATTTAAACTTCGTTTGCCTGTATAGATCACTGCTCTTTCGATTTTTTAGGTATTTTTTTTTACCACCGAGTAACATATCCAAGGTGTCGTTCAATTTTCAGGAACTTTGACATCCTGTTTTCCCTCTCTCCTTCACCTCCTTGCTCCTTCCTCCTGTCAGGCTGCTTCATATCAGGGGGCTAAAGTCAGTGAGCTCAGCATAATCACAGGAGCTACTCAGCATAAAAGCACTACTAAATTTATGGTTAATGCTCATGCTTCCTGCTCCTAATCACTGTCATCTTCATCACTGTACTCATCACTGCCATCCCCGTCACCTTGAGTCATTTTTAATCCATGCACATGGGAATGTGCTGACATGCTCTGTTTTGCTTGCTGACTACGTGTGTGTGTATTAGTGGTTCACTACAATAGTCATCGCAATATCTTATTTTTATGATATGACAACAATCGCTGTTTCATTTTAGGGAGAAATCGATGTCACCCTACCCTCACTCCCAATGCACACTCCTCATGTGACTCATGCAAACAAATAATGTGAATAAATGTCTTTTCATTTTTTCATTTTTTCATCTCTAGTAATTTAAAATCTTGCCAACAAATATTTTCTTGCTGCATTTTATTTTGAAAACTAGAAAAGCAAACTTCCAGCTTATTCGTGTAACACTGGCATCCGGTCAGTACTGCAGAGCTGTAAAAATTTGGATTGGTGTATCCCTAGATAGTCCTCTTTGTAGCATTAAGAATAACTAAACAATGAAATATCAGTTTTAAATATCTTTTTCTTGGCGTGAGCTTAGTTTTCATATTGGACAGCAGGCAAGGTGACACTGAAGTATGGCTGCTTGAAGTAAATATGCTTTGCCTTCTTAAAAAGAAAGTACTTTTTTATGCAGTCCCTGCTTAAACACATTTCTCAAGCCAGCGCTGAAGCCCTCCTTCAACTTTATGCAGTAGCCCTGACAGTGTTATTACATTTATTTTAGCTGTGGGAAGAGGAGCGTGAGAATTGCCGCCCATTCTGTGAATCTATAGGAAGAAGCTTTCAAGCTCTCAGGCTTTGTGTATTAGTCAGCCGTGCCTCAAGCCAAGACAACATATTTAGTGAGAAAATACTCAAACACAGATTGAGTCACAGCAAAAGAAATGAGCTTCGTTCATCTCCAAATTAATTGTTTATTTCATTTCCTTACAGCGCTCCCATAGCCCTTATTTTTCCCCAGTTTTTTCTCATGTATTCCTAAAACTGTTTTTTTTGTTTCCTTTCTTTATGCAAATCAAATTAAAAGCTTACAGACACATCATGGAAATCATCAAGGAATCCCCTTTGTTTCCTCTTTATATTTCACTGACGCAGTGAAAAATATAAAACTAACTAAAACGTGTTTTTAGTGAGTGACAGAGAGGTGTCGTCTTACTTGGGTCTGATTTGGAGAAGGTGTCCCTATCCAGCAGGTTTCTGTGGAGACACAATATGGGAAATAATTAGAAACACAGTTGCCTTGGAGAATGAATCCATGCTAACACACTGACTATTTATGTTCCCGGCTTCACATTGTGTTTACAGTAAACCTGCGAAACGTCCTGATGAGGTGCAGGAGTACAAAAAATATAACATGCAAAGTGCTGTGTATACCACGGTTTTCACCATGCTGTGCGTACTGCTTATAGTTACAGTTAACATATACAGTACAGACAAAGATAACCCGAGTAATTACAAAATGCAGCTTTTGAATGATGATTTTAT